CACTTGCAAGGAGGCCTGACACCAGCTGGGACTACGTGTTGTGGAGCTGAGTGTGATGAGAATGGCCGCAGCACCCTGTATAGCTGGTCCCCCCGCCTGGGGAGCCCTGGGTAGGTCAGCTAATTGGGGACGGGGAGCTGCAGGCCTAGCTCCTTCCCACCCACTCCCTCCCCAGCCCACCAGGCAGAGAAAGCCCCTGCAGTGTATCAGCAGTCTCCAAGCTGCTTCTCCACTCGGGGGTAACTGCTGTTCTTTAATCTCCACTTCCTGGCTTTGTCTTTCTCTCTTCTCTGTCTTTCCATCCTAGGCCCAGCCAGCCCCCCTGGAACCAGGGGGTGAGTTTGTTTCACACTTTGTGCCAATGGTTTGTAAAAAGATGTGATAGGTTTCTTCCAAATGCACAACCAGAGACAATTCCTCCATGAGCGGCCAGAACACATTTCCCATGAAGCGTGAAAAATCCCAGGAGCTGAGGACTGAAGAACTCAACCACAGACGAACACACGCCAGGCAAGCATTTCTAAAGAATGTTAGCATCACACGCAGCCCTCCGCGTCATCACGGCTGTTGGTGCTGTAATTACTCCCACCCCACCTTACAGCTAGCCACACGCGTGGTCCCAGGCCGCGCTCCCCTGGTTTTCTGGGCACATAAAACCAACGAGAAGCCAGGGAAGGCTAAGCTGATGGAGAGAGATGAGAGAGATGAGCTGCAAATTGCCGCTCCCCCCAATTTATGCCAAACAAATAAACAGAACCTCACACCCACATGCAGGAATGTGGCCCATAGAAAATCTCAGACACTGTCACCTCCTCCCTGGATGCCTTGTCTTGTCACTCCTCCATCTCTTCCACCCCACATGGAAATCTCATTGAGGACAGCCGGCTGGGATGGGACGAGAAGGATGGGGTTGGTGCAGGCAGAGAATCGGGCTCACTAGGTAAAACCATCCCACACCCCCTCATCAAAGGAAGCCTTGCGGGAGAAAACAAGGAGTTTGTTTTAAAGCAGAGGGGTTGGAGTCCCAGGGGTGAAAGAACTGCAAGTGAACACATCTGTTAAGTGGCTCCTGTCCCTTCACACCCCTGCTCTGTCAGCTTTCACACTGTGGGGTTCCTGATTCTGCAGGTGCTTAAAGTGTTCGCCTTTTGTTCATTGAAAGAAAACCATTTTTGTGGGCTCTACTCAAAAGGTAGCTATGATGTCTCTGAGAAGACAGCCATTTCCCCTCCTCCTGCTAAGTTATTTGATCCCAAACTCAGACACTGGAAAATTCAAAGAGCCAAAAATTTCCACTACAACACCGAGACAGAAAGCCATGAGGTCTCCTCGACCCCAGCACACACCCTCTACTTCTAGCCATCTCTAACACTGGCCAGTAGATTCCCAAAAAGCCACCGTCAGAAATGACAGCCTCTGCTGGGCATAGTGGCTCACACCTGTAATCCTAGCACTCCGGGAGGCCGAGGCAGGAAGATCGTTTGAGCTCGGGAGCTCGAGACCAGGCTGAGCAAGAGTAAGACCCTGTCTCTACTAAAAAAAAAAAAAAAAAACTAGAAAGAAATTAGCTGGACAACTAAAAATATTTATATATAAAAAATTAGCCGGGCATGGTGGCGCATGCCTGTAGTCCCAGCTACTCGGGAGGCTGAGGCAGGAGGATCGCTTGAGGCAGGAGGATTGCTTGAGCCCAGGATCGCTTGAGGCTGCTGTGAGCTAGGCTGATGCCACGGCACTCTAGCCCAGGCAAAGAGAGTGAGACTCTGTCTCAAAAAAGAAAGAAAGCAATGACAGCCTCCATACGAGCCCACAAGTCCCTACCAATCATATTCCCAGAACTGTCATGTTCTATTAGAAAGTTTCTTTTCAAGCTCATGTGTGGTTTACCCAGGAAAAAAAGCATACCCTGCCCTTCGCGCTCGCATGCCAGTGAGTTGAGTAAACCAGAAACAGCTTCTCTCCAGACAGCCCCTGAGTGTGCAGCTGCCGCTACGGAAATCCTTATGGATGATGATAACAACAGTCATGATGTTTAGCGGCCTGTCGCTCCAGGATCTCACAATAATACCAGTCTCCACAACTTCTCTTCGTGAGACTTCAAGATTTTCCTGTTTCATAGTTTTTCCGGATCCCTCCATCTGGCCTAAGAAGAAACTTCCAGACAACAAAGGCAGCTATTGATGTAAATAAGATGGACTCATCTGGCAGAGGCACCTACCCAATATACCGCTTAAGTCAGTATTTTCTAAAAGACAGTCAATCCTACATAGCAGAAATTAAATTAACAGGATCATGTCCGGTTAGTTAAAAGTACTGGCCCAAGAATCTCTCTGTTCTGCTAAGCCGCAAGACTCTGCATTGGCTTCTTCCAAATGCTCCATTTCTGTGACTCTATGCTGCATCCCATCAGCTTGGAAAAGGTATGCCTTCCTTCTCAGATGAAAAGCCCACGTATGGATGATGGGTTTATTCCAGTTGATAATTACGGCAGGAGCAGTCTGATGCCTCCCCTCTCTAGCGAGGGAAGAAAGGAAGCTGACTGGTCAAAACTTGCACCTACACACCTCAAACTGCCCTCAGCCGGGATGTGCCTCCCTGCACCTCAAAGTATATTAGACTAATTCCAAGGGTCACTTCTCAAGGATCACCCAGATAGTAGGCATGTATCAGGGTGGTCACACCTCCCGCAGCACGACTCTGCTCACCACTGAGTGTCCTGAGCTGAAGGCGCCTATGTGACTGTCTCACCGCAAGAGACAAAGGTCATGTTATTAACTGGTCATGTTTCTTTCTATCTTTGAACCTCGCTGGTGCATTTCCTCCTGCCCTCTTCATGCAACTCTTCCTCCTCCTGTGCCTAAGCATTCCTCCCACACAAAGCCTTCACTGTTTCTGAAATTCACTGAGATACCCAAGTTTTCCAAGGGTCACCTCAGCACAAAAAAGTGAGAGTCTGTTCTTGACCTGACCTCCATAACCTCAGTGGGAACATTGGAATTTGGGGATGATGGGTCCTCCCCAGAGGAGCCCCTAAATTGCAGCATGTTCAAGACCATCCCCATATCCAATATCCTTCACAGTGTCATCAAGTCAGATTGCCGTGACTTTGAAAACTCTTTCAAGGACCTATCCAGTTGACTAGAGGGCTGTATTAGTGGGTAAAAGTGACACGTTCATTTCCTCTCTGTGTCTTGTCCCGGTTAAAAAGCAAGCCTGAGTGCACAGGCAGGAAAACAGAGTAGAAATGATAAAATCTGGGTTCTGGGCTCAGCTCTGTCAGCCTACCACACTGTGGAGTTCCTAGTTTTAGCCTAGGAAAGAGAATCAGGAGGAGAAATAACTTCCTTGGCTCTCTGGAAGGAAACCGTCTTTCACTGGTGCAGACGTAAAGGCAGCCGCACAGGTGTATGAGATTGTCTCTTAGTAGCTGCACCACCGGGAAACTTTCTGAGTTTTTGTTTCTTCGACTGCAAAGCGAGAATAACAAGAATAGCCTGCCTAAACCTGCGAGGCCGTAGCTTAAGGGTGGGTATGAAGGTGCAGGCAGGAGAGCACAAGACATATTCGAGAGATGGGTTTTGTTGGATGGAATCTGGCTACAATCCAAATCTCTCCCCCTTCCCCATGGGCACGAGCCACAGGGTTGGCAATATCCGCCGGAACCTCAGGGTTAGAAGGTACTGTGGTTTGTTTGGTCCTGCCAACTCTCACGTTGACATTGGATCCCAATATTGGAGGCAGGAGATGTGGGAGATGTTTGGGTCATAGGGGCGGATCCCTCATGGAAGGCCCGGTGCTATTCTCTCGGCAGTGAGTGAGCTCTCACTCTTCGTTCCCATGAGAACTGGTCTTGAAAGGAGCCTGTGCCTCCTCCCCTCTCTTGCTTCCTTGCTCTGGCCACGTGACACCTGCTCCTTTCACCTTCTGCCATGCGTGGAAGCTTCCCGAGGCCCTCGCTAGAAGCACATGCTTGTGCAGCCCACAGAAGAGTGAGCCAAATAAACCTCTTTTCTTTACAAATGACCCAAACTCAGGTGTTCCTCCATGGCAACACAAATGGACTAGGGCAGACGGGGAATGGAGGAGAGCCTAAATAACTCCCCAAAATAGCAGGTGCTTGCATAGGCTGCATAGGATGTGATAACGTGCATAAGAGGAAACAGTCACTCACTAAGCATGTTCACTGGGACAGGCACTTTGAAGACCTTCAGGAGACCGAAATCTCTCTAGTAAAAATGGCAAGCAGGAAGCATAATAAGGTGCTTACTACCGTCCAGCCACTGCCGTAAGAGTTTTATGTGTATTAACTCAGTTCATCTGTGCAACAGCCTATAAGGTAGGTGTATTATCATCCCTTCCCCCTAATCAGCAGCAAGTGCTTGAGTGAGGATTTAACCTCCAACCCCAGACAATCATATAGCAGAGTCCATATTCTCAACCACTGCAGGTGGTGAGTTTTATTAAGTCTTTTCCTCTGTGCAATAACCTAGTAGAGCATTAATCCCTCTCCTTGTTCTACACCCAAAGCACTTGCAGTCCTCACTGGCCACCTGCAGGAGCACTCAGTAAATCCTAGCTGTCAATAACAACTCACTCTTCCAGATGGAAACATCCTCACTGAATCTCCCTTTCTTAACGGCTCCCTCCCTTGGTGAGAGGCATAGTTTACCTCTCTCCAGATTATGGTCCCCAGTGGAGCTTGGCATCAGAATGTCTAACCAACTGAACTCCAACAGCGCTCAAAGGGAGAGGGGCTGCCCCTGGGGACAGGGAGGATTGCGGCATTCAGCAGGCAGGGTGGCCAGGCTGTGAGATAACTTGCAATGCTCAGAAGTGCTCCATACGATGAGGAATTTTCCCACCCAAACACCGATAGTTCTTCCGTTGAGAAATACAGACTGCTTAGAAACTATTCATAGTTGAGAGACAGCAGACAAAACCATTCCAATAAACAGGTCAAAGGGGTGAGTGATCCCGAATCACTTGGGAGTCACCGGTACCTCCTTATGGTTTCGGGTGGCTCTGCACGGCAGGGAATCTGATTGGCGGAGGCCAGGGTGTCCCGCAAGGCCGTGATGACCTCCTGCAGCTGGCCCAGGGACAGCCGGCACATGAGGGGACTCAGGTCGCAGCCCCGCCACTGGAGCTGTTGCTCTTGCTCTTCAATTTCCCTTCTCAGCTGTTGATCTTTGGCTTCCAGCACAGACATCCTTGCTTGGAGAGCTTCGATTTCTTTCTGTAGAGAATGAAGAGACCAGATTTTATAAATTAACCCTGCTCATGGCAAACTGCTCTATGGATAATGACTCATTTAAATGAGAATTGGCCAGATGCACCAGAGCTGCGGAGCTCCCCTTCTGAGGCAGGCAGATTTTTGGAGGTTTGCTGAACTGGAAAAATCATGCCAGCTTTATATTCCTAAGGAGCTGGCATAAGGAAAAACATTCCCTCCCAAGCATTAAATAACCATGGTGGGGGCGGGGGTGAGCCAAGAATTTGACTTGGAAGAACCCAGCAAACGCAAAAGGACTGACTTCATTCCAGACGGGAGAGTTAGAACACAGGGCAGCGTGCATGACACACTGGAGATACAGGCTCAGCAGGCGACATTAGCCACAGACCAAAACAAAAGACGCAAACAACCCTGGGTGGGTCCGTCCCCAAACATAAGAATTCAGAGTATAGAAAAAAGTGGAAAAAAAGGAAAACCTCCTGGCTTCTTACGTCTATAGGATTGAGAGAACAGTGAGATGCTGTAGATAGTGTCATGCAGTCTAAAGTTCACAAAAATATTAAATAAATTTAATTTCCATTAATACAGCAAGCTGAAGTCCAAATAATCCATAAAGTATCATCTAATCCTGAGGTCAACGGATGACACAAGCAGCAGGTAATTGAACCCCATCCTGTGCACAGTGGCATTGCAGATAATCGTCTCGATGCCTGTACGATTCTGAATGAAAAACAGACTCTCTTGATTAACATACTCCCATATTCCGAGCGTCAGTTACCCAATTTTTCTCTTTTCTTTTTTTTTTTAGGTTTTTTTTTTTTTTGCAACTGTGGTAAAATGCACACAACATAAAATTCACCATCTTAACCATTTTTAAGTGTACAGTTCAGTGGCATTAACTACATTCACGTTGTTGTGCTACCATCGCCACCGTGCATCTCCAGAACTCGTTTCATCTTGCAAAACTGAAACTCCACACCCACTGAACCATAACTTCCGTCCCCGTTCTGTCCCCGCCCCCAGCTCCCAGCAGCCACCATTCTACTTTCTGTCTCTATGAATTTGACTCCTCTAGGAACCTCATATAAACAGAGTCACACAGTATTTGTCCTTTTGTAATAGGCTTATGTCACTTAGCAAGACGTCCTCAAGGATCATCCATGTTGGGGAAGGTGTCAGAATTTCCTCCCTTCTTAAGGTTGAACAGTATTTGATTGTGTGCACATACCACGTTCCGTTTACCCATTCATCCATCAGTGGGCATTTGGGCTGTGATCACCTTTTGGCTATTGCGAACATGCTGCTATGAACGTGGCAGGTACACAAATACCTCTTTGAGGCCATGCTTTCAATTTTTTGTGGTATATACCCATAAGGGGGATGGCTGGATCACATGACGATTCTATTTTTTTTTAAGGAAGCTGCATATTGTTTTCCATATTGGTCCTATATCCTATTCCTAACACAAGAGTCAAAGCGATTCTTTACAGTGAGGTCAGATCATGTCCCTTCCCTGCTTAAAACCCTCCAGTGGCTCCCCATTGCAGTAAGAGGACAGTCCAAGTCCTCACAAGGCCCCTGTACCTCTGACTTCCTCCCCAGTGGCCTCACTTATGCTACTTGGGACACAAGGGTCTCCAGGGTTCCACTGAACACATGCGACACACTCCCACTGTAGGCCTCCGTGTGACTGTCCCTCTGCCCAGGCTGCTCTCCTTGGAAATCTCTACACAGCCTCCTCCTCCTCCTCCTCTCTCAAGTGTTGGATTCAGTCTTACTGCTCAATGAGTAGACTCTATCACCCCATATCCTGGTCTATGCATTGTAGCTTTTACCACCCTACAACGTGCTAGATGTTTAATATGTTTATCACTTATCGTCTACCTTCCCACTCCCACCCCCACTAGAACACAAGCTCCCCAGGAATCCCAAGCATTTCACACAGTCTGGCAAATAGTGGAGACTCAATAAAAATCTGGTGGATACATGAGTATTCAAGCACCTTTCCCCAGAGTGCTTCAAACACAAAGTACCCTGGGCTAAAGTTATTTTCTGTACACACTGGCATCCTCAGGAATTGTGTAGACCTTTAAGTGGTGAATGTTGTTAAAAGCCAAAAATCAGATTTCATATTTTCAGCTTCCCAAACTTTACGATGGCACTCACTGAATATGTACGTAAATGCTCAGTTTACCGGGGAATTATTTCCAAATTGCAATGACTTTTGCCTCCCTTTGCTACCTGGCCATTATAGTGAATTAGGTGGGGCAAGCTCAGACAATAAGAACACTCTGCATGGCGGGAGTAACTCGTCCAAGCCCCCATAACTTGTCTAAGTTTGTCCAGCTATTTAGAACTAAGGCAGGATTTGGACTGAGGCACTGAAAACCTGTGCTCTTTCTATGAAGTCACACTGCCTCTAATCCACGCACCCTCACTGCTCCTGTTCCTGCTGCAGGCCTCCAGGCTCAGGCAAGCATGGACCCACTTTCAAGGTCCTCTGCCTCTGGAGAGCTCCTAGCTGAGCTCTGGCTGGAACTAGGTGCTGCACCCAGATTTCTAGCCCCTGGAAGATCCTTGGGCAACTTTCAGCCACTGCTCTCAGCCAACTCTGGGCTTCCATGTAACCTGCTAATCATGCCTTGCCCAGTCCGGACTTAACAACTCTTGTGTCTTACCAACTGCTGCTCACAATGCACCATGATAGGAATTTCCATAAACGATTTTCACAGCACAGAGCTCTTTCCACCTTCAAAGGAAGCTTCTACAGGCCAAAATGATAAGAGGTGACAAATTGGCCTGGCAGACAAGGAACACGTATTCAAAAGGTAATGAGGAATATCAAAAACAGGCACAAACGCTGCTGAGCTTTCAACTCTTGTTTGTAATGAGATTCCTACAAAGTCCTCTCTCTAGTCATTCCCACTGTCTCTCCTTTTAGTCCTCCCGGTTGACAGCCAAGGCTCTAATTGCTGTAGTCAAGCAAAGCAAAGACCCACGTGGCTACGTTGGATGGAAATGGAGAAGAAAAACGCCATCCTGTGTCTTGAAGATCCTTCGCCTGCTCACCTGTAACTGCTGCTTCTCCTGAAGAAGCCAGTCTCGCCTCGTGACGGACACACGCAGGTTATCCTGAGCAGAGGGCTCCAACGGCCAGGGCTCCATTCTCAGCGGGGCTTGGCTGTCATCACTGCTGGCCCTTAAAGCAACACGTACGTATATATTAGGACAGGTGTAAAGAACCTAAAGTCCCTCAGGTCAACAAGCATTTTAAGAGTAAGAAATTTCACCAAGCAGTCCCCAGCCATTCTCACTCATCCTTAGGAGGTATCCACCTATCTTTAGGATGAGGTCCCTTATGCAAGTTTCTGCTTTAATTACAATCTGTTGGGGCTTTTGCTTTTGCCCATTGCCAGATTTCTGTTATTAGACCTGCACTATCCACTACAGTAGCCCTTAGCCACATGTGACATGTGTTTAGCCCAAATTAAAATGTGCCAAAAGTGCAAAACACACACCAGATTTTTTTAAAGTTAATGTAAATATAAAGAGTGCAAAATAACTCATTAGTAATATTTTTAGACTCATTACATATTGAAATGATAATATTTTAGATATATTGGGTTGAATTTAATGTATTATTAAAATTAATTTCACCTGTCTCTTCTTAATTTTTTTCATGTGGCTACTAGATCACTTAAGATCATGTCTTTGGCTCCAGTTATATTTTGTTAGACAGCACTGCCTTGGACCAACCAAACAGGGCCAAATTCTAGAGCTGATGGGGATTCAAAGGAAGTATGACTGATTTGCAAGTGCTTGGGTCAGAGCTTCTCAGAAAAGATTTGCTAAAAGACTGTCGAAACCACTCAAAACCTGCTTGGCTCTTGCTCTTGCTCTTGCTCTTGCTCTTGCTCTTGCTCTTGCTCTTGCTCTTGCTCTTGCTCTTGCTCTTGCTCTTGCTCTTGCTGGAGGTGACATATTTGGTGGCAGCAATGCTGGTGAAAATGTTAGCACACACTTGAGCCTTATGCTGGTCACCTGCCTTTATAGAAGTCTCGTCTGTATTTATCATCAAAGAAGCACTAACTCATCCTTAAAGTATTCAATTTCTAACTCAGTGCAGGTGAGCAGAAAAAAAAAAATTACCCTAAGCTGAACTATGTCAGCAATTTAAGAAGCTAAGAAAACACCATCAACTAAAAAAAACTAAAAGGTAAAAGATAAGTTGGGAAAAAAATATCGTCGCATGTATGTCAGAGAAAGGAATAATACTGCCAATTTAGAAAGATTTCTACTCTAACCCTTTTTAGGGAGAGGCAAAGATATACAATGTAACCAGAATGTCAAAAAAAAAAACAACCCAAAAACTGTTATCGGGAGGTGGGCAGGTGGGAGGAGGAGGAGGGGAAGGGTGTACACTTACATAATGGGGGTTGGACACGCTTGAAGCTCTGGCACGGCGGGGTGGGGGAGGGTTGGCAGGGGCAATATATGTAACCCTAACAATATTTGTACCCCCATAATGTGAGGAAATAAAAGGAAAAATTTTTTAAAAAAGAAAAGAAAAAATAGATGCTAAAAAAAAAAAGAAAAGAAAGACGCAAAAGACAAGTGCACCAATCAGAAATTCCAAAAAAGGAATTACCAAGGGCAGAGCAGTGAAGAAAATGTTTATCATCAAAAATGGTTTTAAATGCAAATCCATACAACATAAAATGTCATGTTTCACCTAACAAACTGGCAAAGGTTTGTACAAACCATAATTCTTCGGTGAGAACAGGGAATAAGAATGAGAGTTAAACTTTAATATAACTTTGGACCCCACGTTCTCACTTCTAAGAATCGACCGTATGGAAATAATCGTAGATGTACACAAAGATCAGCTACCCCAATATTCCATTTTCTCTTAGTAGCCCCAACTGGCATCACTGTAGCTGTTCCCCCACATCCGGGTCACCGCAGTAAACCATGGCACAGCCCCACCCCAAGGAACACCGAGCAGCCACCAAAAGTAGGTCACACAAGAAGATATATCGGCATGGAAAATGTTCACTATTTATTGCTATTTTTTCTAAAGCAGGTTTTATGGCAGTATGTATAATATACACATAAAAATAATACATATATAAAATAAAAGACAGAAAAATATCCACCAAAATGCCATCAGCTCTTATTTCTGGGTGATGGAATTACTTCTTTCAGCCAATCTTTCCTGAAGTTTCTATAGTGACCAAGCATGTCTTATTTTTATAAACTATAATAAAAAATGTTTTCCACCACATACACCAAGCAGCTGCACTGGTGACTTAAATATTTTAACACAGTCAGCCTGTCCTGTGGCTCTTGGACATGGCTGTGTTTTAAATAAATCCCATCAATACGTTCATCACCAAAGCCATCTTCCCTTGCAGAGGAGCTGGTATCTGTAGCTTCTGTCACTTTGAGCCATAAACTCAGTGTCCACAAAAGGCCACATTAAACCTTTCCCTCCTTCCACACAGCTAGATCTTGTCTGCCACATTTGTCCTTACTTCAGGGCTCAGTGACAAGCAGGCAGCTGCATGCTCTTATTTGTATGTGCACATGGGGTCTCACTACCTCTGCATTTCTTAGAAAACAAAATGATCCTAACATGGGTTGTGCTATGTTCACCTCCTTTCAGTCTTGCCCCATGTCCTTCATTCATTCAGAAAAAGAAAAAACATCACTAAGCCCACCTAGTACGTGCTGGTAATACAACAGTAAACTGAACTTGGCTCAGGGGAGACAAATGTATCAACAGAAAAATTACAAGGCAATGGGGGAAATGCTCGATCCAAAAAAACAGACCAATTACTGAAGACCTTTTCTGGCGGGGGCGGGGAGACAGAGTCTTGCTCTGTTGCTCAAGCTAGAGTGAAGTCGCGTCATCATAGCTACCTACAACCTCAAAGTCCTGGGCTCAAGCGATCCTCCTGCCTCAGCCTCCCCAGTAGCTGGGACTACAGGTGCATGCCACCCTGCCCAGCTAATTTTTCTATTTTTAGTAGAGATGGGACGGAGGGGGAGCATCTCACTTTTGCTCAGCCTGGTCTCAAACTCCTGAGCGCAAGCCATCCTCCCACCTTGGCCTCCCAAAGTGCTGGGATAACAGGTGTGAGCCACCATGCCCGGCCCCAATTACTAAAGACTTTAAAGGCTGGGGTGACTCTCCCACTTCCTGAATCTTCCCATGGCTCTTACAAAGTAAGTGACCCAACCAACCTTGCTGCAAGGAAGCAACCCTAATATTTTTAGAAACCATACTGGAAAATATGTCACCTCAGCATTTCTGAGATAGAAAACAGCAGCGCCAGAAAAAGGAGCCTCGCTTTTATTCCTGTGCCAGACACAGACTCAGATTCTCTGAATAATCTTGAAAGTCACTTACTTCCTGTAACATACTATGCAATGGAGAAACGTATTTTCTGTTCCATGTGCTTACAGGCAAATGATAACAGTAGAAGTAAAAAAAAAAAAAAAAAGATTAAGCTGCTAATAATAAAGTAAACTGCTATGAATTGAAAATATACAGTATACCAGACATTCCCACTTTTATCTCCCTCACTTCTCATTGCAGAGCCAGGATGCAAATGTTATTATTGCAGTTTTGCTGATGAGGAAACGGAGTCTCAGGGAGGTCAGGTGGCTTGCCCGTGGTCGCAGACACCATACCCATAGGTTCTCAGCAAGATCAGCAACTGTGTCTCCCCAGCCTCCAGCCATGACCCGCCCACGCCCCTTGACTGAGTCCCCTCCCGGGTGTTCAGCGGGGACTGCACCGCAGCAGCGAGCGCACAGCCCGTGGAGGCCAAGGCCAGCGTCCGGGCCTTGCCTCTGCCTTTTCCTGGCCTCGTGTCCCTGGACTTACCTAATCTCTTTGAACCTTACCTTAAAATGAGAATGCTTGGTCACGCTTGAAGCACTGACTCGAGGGGGGAGGGGGGGCATGGGCAATATATGTAACCTTAACATTTGTACCCCCATAATACGCTGAAATAAAAAATAAATTTAAAAGAAAGAGAATGCTGAGCATGAGAATAACGAGCATGCCTTCCCTACGTAGCCGATTACAGGGGTTAAATTTGCTCAACAGATGACCACTGGGCGCCTACTGCATGCAGACCCCACTCTTTCACTGGGACCTTTTGGGGACGGGGACAGAGCACTTGTGTCCTCAGGGAGTTTCCTCTTGGCCTGCCCACACCTCAACGTTTGCATCCGGAAAATGAACGCCGTGCTCACGTCCAGTGGACACACTTCCTCCGCAGGGAAGCAAAGATTAAAGATGAAATATGTCCAGGAAGAGGAAGCGTCTGGAACTAAGCCATCCCCAGCTACTGGCGTCTGCGGGAGTGGCCCGCACGTCCTCCCCTGGGCTCCAGAGTCACAGCCTGCTCGCACAGTCTCCTGTTCTCGACTCTGAACCCGGGGAGCAAAGGGACTGAGCTCATCTCCTGGTGACACCCCCAGTGCCCTGCACCAAGTAGAGGCCTAGCAAATATTCATTGTTGTGATTTAATGAGTCTGTGGCCTAGAAAATCCAGAAGTCGTTTATATTCACTTTTCTATTGCATTAGATCATTTCTTTGCACTAATTTATTTCCCAATTTGCTCTGCTTATGCTAATATTAAGAGTTTCCTGAATTTCCTAAATAGATACCATCTGGGTTGGGATGGGAGTTAGTGAAAGAAATCAACACAGAATTGAAAATTAGCTACAGAAGAGCTACAGGTGGGAATTCTCCATGTTATCGTTAAGCACATTCATTACTTAATCCATGGGAAAAGCCCCTGCGGTTAACCAAAACTCCTCTGTCTGCCTCTCATAACTCCAGGAACAGGGAGAGGTCCACAGCCGGCGGAATGGTGGCCCCGGGACACGATCGTCACTCAGTAATGAAGCAAGGGACAGGCTTCTGTCTCTCAAATCTTCAGTCCTCTGAGTCACACTCCCTCTCCCTTCGACAATGTTTTCCCCTTTATATTTAATAACTCTCAATGTGTAATCCCTGATGTCAGTGCAAATTAGCATCGCTGCTATAAACTAATCAGGATGTAAAATGAGCAAATCCCTCAGGGACAAGAATTAAAAACACGCAGGGTAGACCGTTGGAACAGCACTCGGGGCCAACGAGGGCTCGGATGTCTAAGACGCCACTCTCGGGGCCAGGGTTT